CATGGTAGCACAGGCCTATAATCCCAGCACTGAGGAGCCTGAGGCTGCAGAATGCTTCAAGTTCAAGGCCAGCCTGGGCTCAAAATGAGTTCAAAGCTAACCTGAACTGCATAGCGAAACCCTGTCTCAGAAAACCAAAACAAAACAAATGAACAAACAAAAAACCCTATAGTATAACTATGCACAGGGAGGCAATTCAAAATGCCTCAATAACAACCAAGATTCCTCGGAAGATTCTTATTCCAGGCAATTGTTCTGCTTACCAGTTAAAAATAAAGTCTCCTTTGGGCTTTAAGTGATCTAGTGGTTTCTACAGTCAAACGCCCTATGAGCAATGTTGCTGTCCTCAGGAGCTCCCCTACACACCTCCTTTCCAAGACATTAGGTACAATGTGCAGGAGAGTGGGGGGCACTCAGCTGGGCGTGGTGGCGCATGCCTGTGACCCCAGCATTCTAGGAGGCTGAGGCAAGAGGACTAAAAGCTAAAGCCCAGCCTAGGCAAATCAGCAAGACCCATTCTCAAAATGATTAAAAAAAAAAAAAAAAAAAAAGTTGGGGCTGTAGCTCGGGTAATCCAATCCCCAGTATATGAATAAACACAAATAAAGGCGACACAGGAGCTTGGCAGTCTGTCAGGAGGGAAATATCCTAAAACCTGCTTCACACCCTGGGCCTGCAAGGCATCCTGTGTGACCCTGGCCTCCTAGCACTGCAGTCCTGGTGCCAACCCTCCCCACTGTCTGGGGCTGGTCTGTGTGGCCCAGAGCTCCCAGCAACGTCACTTCTGACAGCAAGTGAGAGTTTTAGCTCCTCTCTGAGTTGTGCAAAAAGCTCCCTGTGAGGAAACAGCTGCAGGAAGAAGCCCAGAACCAGAGCCGCCAGCCACAGCCACACCTCAGACACCTGTGGCCCAACATCTGCAAGTTCCGAGAGCCCGTTGGGCTGGAACAGCCAGCTAGGCAGGTCCAGAATCCCAACCCACACTAATTATAACAGGAACCACTTGTTATTTAGAACCACTATGTGTGGCAGGTGTTGGTTACAAAACTACAGCTAACCGATACACACACTTTCTCCCAAATGTCAGTGATAATGCTGGGTGTGGTGCCTCACATCTGTCATCCCAGCATTCTGGGAGGCTGAGGCAGGAGGATGGAAAGTTCCAGACTAGTTTGGGCTACTTAGTGACTTAGCAAGAACCTTTCTCAAACTAAAAAAGTAAAGAGAGGGCTGGGGATACAGCTCTGTGTGAAGGCCCTAGCATCAATCCCCAGTACCATCAAGAAAAAAAGAAAGGAGAAATAAACAAGCCCAGCTTGGGCACTTTGATGAGACCCCATAATGCTGGGCACGGTGGTGCGCACCTGTTATCCCAGCACTTGGGAGGCTGAGGCAGGAGGATCGTCCCAAGTTTGAGGCCAGCCTGGGCTACAAAGTGAGTT